CCATGGACTGAACCTTAAACTAGGAGCCAATATAAATCTTTCCTCCTGTAAGTCTTCTCTTCAGATCTTATACTCAGTGACACAAATCTGCCTAAAACACCTTTATAAAAATATCAAGTCCAGCATTAATAACATGTATTTAGAGACATAAATCTGTCAGTGGGTCTCCATCTGGCTGCATGCAGGATAAATGCCCCTTTCAAAGACATTTGTAGGCTCTGCACCCAGAAATTCTGAGCCAGGTCTGGGTTAGGTTTGAGCAATCTAGAATTTTTACTAAGTCCTACAAGGTGATTCTTAGCACTGCTTTTCTGTGGTTTCTGCAATGCCATTCATTACCTGTTCCCTGAGTTCCTGGATCATCTCGTTATCTGTATCTTTGAAACTAAGATATCTCACAAATGTTATCTGGAAGGGGACTTTAGTGATTAGTAAGAATTGACTGTAGTTCTCAGAAACACAGAAAGGAACTAGAGTGTGTATGATCAACAAATGATTAGAGGAAGCAGGACACAGAGCATTGGTCATGGGAGGGGTGCCATGTTGAACATGTCCAGAAATTCTCTCTCCTAGTCTTTATTAACCACAAGTATTTCTCAGCCTTACTCCTTTAGTGATACTGAAGCCTGTTTGCCCCCAAATGAATTTTTTTTTTAAAAAAAGCTATGGGGCAAGCTTTTTCTCCACACCACCAGGCCAATTCTGATAGGCCAACCCTAGATGGATATAACCAATCCTTCCCATTTTAGCACCCCATGCACACCTCAACCAGTCTGAGAGCCTTTGGTATATGTGTACTGCATTAAAGCTCATCCTTGACAGCTCTGTGCATATTCTACATGGCACAAACACAAGACAAACAAATACATCTTAAAACAATACCTGCATATATTGTAACTTTTATAGAGAATAAGACAAAAAAAACCCACAAACCTTTAAAAAGCAGAGGTTAAAAACCTTACTGTTAATTGAATCAGAACACAGGCATTATAGACACTTTTTTAATGACAACAGATAGTAAATTTATACAAATGACGGGCTAGAATACAATGAATACAAAACCCATCCAGATAAGGGTAGGAAAAGTATCACTTACAAAAATCAATCTGATTCAAATGGCTAAAGAACTCACATCCCCTACTGCATTAATGACACATGGCTTGAAACCAGGCACACTGACATCCTCTCCCTAGCCAGAGCAGTAGTCAACACTATGGCATAGCCAATGACAATAGAGACTTAAATATTCTCACACTCCCCGCATTGATGTCGAGACATCTTGTAACAGATTCACTATGCAAAACTGAAGAGAATGTGTGAGTGCTCTTTGCAAACTGTATGTGCTATGCAGCTGTTGTTAGCTATTGCTATTATTCCTGTTCAGTGAAGTCTCACCAAACATGGGAAAAAGGAAGACTAGTGTGTATAACTGAGAAATATGACTCATAGAATATGTGAAAAGGAACTCGGGTATTTCCTTCAAGTACACAGCAACAAGGAAAGAAGGAAACAAGGAAAGTGGCCAGGAGTGATGTTGAGGAATTTTGTTCTATTTCAAGGAATACATAAAGGACCAAACTATTTACAGATTACTTGTAACAATTATGGTTATGTTGCTCAAGTCCCTGAAAATAATTTTAAGATTACTCTTTACCCCTGAAAAGGGACCAAAAAAGTAAGTCCTGTCAAATTTTTAATGTATACATCAGCACAACATTTGTAAAAACTATCTAACACAGGAGCAGAATCTGCATGAACAGTTGTACAGCCCTGGTGGAGGACATGCAATGCTTAACAGCAGAGAAACCTGCCACTGAAGAGACAAATTGTGTGCCATAGTTGAAGCATTTATCAAATGGGTTTGACAACAGTCCACAACTTCACATGGGCACAAATGAACAATAAACATCAACTTTTCTGGGTTTAAAACAAAATTTAAATGTTTCATGTACCTTCAGGTTTAGTCTGTTTGGGGTATATGTAACTTGTTTAACTGTTTTTACTTGTTTCCTTGGGTACTGTAGCTGTGTATGTAAAATTTATATGAAGATGGAAAATAAACATGAAAGAAAGTTAATCAGTTTTTTTTCTTGGTAAAGCTGATGTGATTTTTTTATAATGAAAACATTCTAATTATCACAATTTATTTCTGTAAAGATGCCCATGAAGCACAGGGCTTTTGTTTGTTTCAGGTCCCGGGGAATGAAACTAGGAGAACTTTACCACTGAGCTATATCTCTAGCCCCTTCTTAATTTTTATTTTGAGATAGGGTCTGGCTAAATTGCACAAGCTGGCCTTGAACCCATGATCCTCCTGCCTCTGCCTCCAAACAGCTGGAGTTACCACTGTGTGCCACCTTCCCTGGCTGAAACATAAGGTTTTGTTTTGTTTTTAATAGTAGGTTTATAATTCTTCATTAACAACTCAAAACCAATTTCTACTATTGTACACAATATGGTATTCATTTGAAAAGCTAATGACATTTTATGGCAGAGTTTTCATTTTTCAGCAAAAAAGGAAATACATCCTGGAGAGTAAATCAGGAGTTTAGGAAGGTATCATTACAGTAAATGGGATTATATCAGTAGCTTGGACTGATGCTTCAAGTTATACTTCCTAATTGAGGTTCTTGTTACAAGCAGTTTTCAAACAACAGTGAAAAATATTCCTAATTTAAAACAATGTATAAGGGCTCAACTGTAGCTTTACTTCGTATACATCTTGAAGTATATACATTATACATGCAAAAACTGGCAAAATATCTTGAAAAATAAACTTATTTCTCAAATACCCATATGTTAACTAACACAGTTATCAGCAGAAAACTGGTGGGTTAACAGTTAAAATCCTAGGAAAAGTAACTGCTTTGAAAAGCCTATTTAGTAATAATCCTAAATATCAATAATCCTAACACGTGATTGTAACTTTTTAACACTTGGCATTTTTCCAAGAGAAAATGATGTGTTTGCACATATCCCTGGTTTAAATGCTTACAGAAAAATATCCATATCATTAGCTACTCAGTAAATGTCTAAAATTAAAAAAAAAATCCAACATTGGACATTATATTTTACAAACAGTCTAAGATCCCAAAAGTACAAGAAAAACCTTGGCATTATAAAAAATTCAGGTGATTAATTTTAAATACAGCAGGCCATCTAATGAGTAAACCATTTAGAACTCTACCACACAACACCCTAGATTCAAATGCCATTATATACAATTGTAATCTTTACCAAAAACTTTACCTTTAGAATACCTGCTTAAAGATATTTAAACTGTAGACAACATTTAACTTTAAGCAAGAATTAAGAATAATCCTAAAACCACACTAATCTTTTATTTTTCTTTATAAGCATAAGTGCATACTTGACTTTTATGTCTAATCATCTATTTTTTCCTTTTGTCCAGTTCCACAACATAAAAAACCTAATAACAACAAACAAATTGATAATGGCAAACACTTAAGCAAGGGGCCTCATATTAGTATCATCAGTAATAAGAAATTTATATTTCCTTTTACTTTCTTAACTAATACATAAAAACATAAATATAGTACATATTTTTGGGGGGCATGTGATATTTTGATACATATATACACTGTGTAATGTTTAAATTAGGTTACATGTATCTATCCCTTCATACATTTATCATTTCTTTATATGGTAAAAACACTGAAATTTTGAATTTTAAAAGTAAAATATGCTTTATATGAAAATGGCCAATTATCTGAAAAAAATGCAAATAGCTGTCTGGTACAAATGGCAGGATTTGAACTTAAACCCAACTTGCGATGTTGTACGGAATTAGCATCAAGAAATAGCTTTTAAGGGCTGGGTATATACCTCAGTTGGTAAACTTATTGCCTTGCATGCATAAGGCCCCAAGTTCAATCCCCAGCACCACAAAAAAAGGGAAGAAATAGCTGTCAAAACTGCACAGAGGATATAAACCAAAGTAGTGATTATCTCCATGTGACAAGATTAAGGGGGGGATTTTTGTTGTTTTCCTGTTTGAATATGTATTTTCCATATAATCATATGGTTCTATAGAAAAAATATTTAAGGGATCAGTATTTTTAGATTGCACACAAATAGTACCAAATGGCTGGAAAGAATACAGACTGAAACTACAAAAGTAAAGTGAAATCACAGGAATTTTTCCCCATTAAAAAGGAACTTGTGGATTAACTATGTGTCTATATATTGCATGAACTAAGGTCTGATTAAAAAGATCATTAGATCAAGATATGCCTAGAATGTTTCTAAGTGATAAAATAATGTTTTCAGAATTGTTTACACTGTCAATGTATGAAAATATGAATAGTTTATGAAATGTAAACTCATATACACTATAATTTAAGAAAAAGTAGGAATTACAATTTTAAATAAAATGTCCACAAACTTTGTAATGAAGCCTAACTTCGATGTTGAACCAGAGAGTAAAGTAGAACATAAATAGTTGGTCTGAAAAAGCATACAACTGGCAGGCAGCTCTTGTCTTTGTTCTCTAGATCCCACAATAAACCAAAGTCCTTTTGTATGAATGGGTGTGGCTTATCCTAGTTTTCCGGAGAGATTTGTTCTGACTAGGAATTACACTTTTTGTGAAATTTCTCAGTGACATTCAGATTAATTGTAGTGTCCAAAATTTAAGCATTTTTCCACAGGAAATTAAAATCCCAAATCCAAGGACCTGGTATTTTCATGATAAGTTAGGAAAATGCTCCAGTGTCAAAGTTTAGGCTTGCTTCATTATATACATCTTATACACAGTATAACTGAAAAGCAACTTTTAAGATTGAAAGCTATAAAACTTTTTTGGTTATCAGATAATCAAACTCTTCCCAGGATAATGTGAAACTCACATTAATTTGTAACAATTTAACTTTTCCAATTTCTCCTTTGCAAATGGGAAATTCATGAAGTTAAATCCACTTATAAAAAACATTATATTAGATGAGTCAAAATTTACACGTGGTCAAATGTGACTCATTAAGTTTGATTTTAACATGTTCTTTCAACTTTATTCAAATAAAATTTACTCATCACCAATGTCCCAAAAACATTTACCATATTAAAAAATCAATTCAATTCCATCAAAAGGTGATGTTCACTTTAATCTTGCTTTCCTTCACGCCACTGCCGTGAGCCTTCATTCCAGGCTACATACACAAAGAGAGCCAGTACCACATGAACGGCAACCACAGCAACAATTGCAGCATAAAAGTAACTATCCCTATTCGACATTCCGAGGATACCTATCAAAGAAAGAAAAAGCTTTCATTTTATTTCAAAATTCACCAAGGTACAAAACAGAAAGTACACTAATTGTTATTAGTTGCATATTTAAGTAGTCAAGCTATTAAAAGGTACTATTTTGGATGGTAGTAAATTGAATATTCACTAAGATTTGACAATCTATGTACTGAGAACATTAATTGAAAGGAAACCATCATTAAAATTTCGTTTAAGGATTTTTTTTTATATACTGGATCCAGAACTTGGAGGCATATCCCAGCTCTTTTTTTTTTTGGGGGGGGGGGGGGGGGTTTTAGTAACATGCATAGGCTGGCCTCCAACTTGCAATTGTCCTGGCTAAACCTTGCAAGTGAGTAGAATTAAAGATGTGCACTACCATGGCTAGCTTTTTAAGCACTTTGACATTAAAAAGGAGATTTAATTTTCCCTTTCTCTGACACAAAAATTCCATCTGATGAAATTCTTTTTTCAAACTCTTCTCAAAAGGATAGTAAAGAAATGCAAGGTGATACACATAAAAATATGTTAGAATGAAATAATTACATATGATGAAAGAGTGCATTTCATGAAGATTTATGATTAATATTTTTTGTAAAGCAAAACCAGAGAAAAAAATAGCAATACTCACTTTACTGATAAAAAGAGTTCACTCAAAGTACAGAACTTAAATATGTAAAGGGTAAAATTCCTTTTTTATGAGTTGAGGATTACCTTCAAATATATAAGATTTAGTTGTGAAATATAATCCAATAGGAACTGTGATCATTAAAGCTGTGAAGAACAAAAGAGTCTTCAGAGTAGACGCTAAAGAACTTTCGCTTCTGGAATGAAGTAAAGAAAGGAAAATTGAGAATCTTCACAGCTATATCCAAATAGTCTGTAACACTATAAACCCCCACAGACCAGATGCTGGAAAATCTGTCCCTGCCTTGGAATTAGTGTCCAGTGGACAGTGAGACACAGCTTCAAAAACAGAAGATCCAAAAAACAAAAGTGGGAAGTGGTACTCTCTTCTGCTGGAGCTCGGGAATTTACATCCCTACCTTGAAGACACTCTCATTCACTTCGAAACTGATATTAATATACAGGGAGACAGTGATGACAAACCTGTTCTGTCTTGTCAGCTTCTCCCTCTGAAAGCCCTTCCAACACCATCAAACCCGGGTCCAAGCAGTGAAACCCATTAATCTGGTCGTAGTAATCCACCCTGAAAAAATGCAGCCATCTCTTCTGCGGAAAAAAAATGCCTGTCTTCACCTGTCTTCAACCTCTTCGTTATCATTATGCTCCAATTATCAGTTTTAGGCAATGGGAGAGATGCAAGGTTTAAGACAAATTGAGAACTTCACGGTAAGATTATAGTGCAGTTTGTTCCGCTGGAAAATGGCGCAGATCCTTTGTCCAGCATTTTAAACCCATGGTGACTTCTCCGTAGTAAATCGCTCCACCTCCAGTAGGAACAATGTGCCCTCCCAGTACCAAAGAGCCAGAGTCTAGACTATGAACCGAAAGACATCACATTACCGTGAAATTCAAGATTGGTGATTGTGACTCCGTGTAGACCTCAGCTAACGTGCATATATGTCTCTAGTTTTTTTTTTTTTTTTTAAGGTAAAAATAAATTTTAAAAACTTACACAAAAGTATATAAACAAAATATTTCTTGCCGGTACAGATTCGCACTACCACTGATCAATGTCCTAATCCCAGTTCTCCCGAGAAGATAAGACAGAAAGTTCCGGGTTCAAAAAAAAGCCAGCCTCAGTAACAGCGAGGTACTAAGCAACTCAGTGAGACTTTGTCTCTAAATAAAATACAAAATAGGGATGGGGATGTGGCTCAGTGGTTGAGTGCCCCTGAGTTCTATCCCCAGTACCCCCCCATCCCCCCAAAAATAGTGCCAGGCACGGAAGCACACGTCTATAATCCCAGTGGCGCTAAGCAACTTAAACCCTGCTCAAAATAAAACAAGAAGGGCTGCACAACTGAGATTGTGGTAGAGCACTTGCCTAGCATATCTGAAGCACTAACTCGTGTGTCACTTAACAACATAGATACGATCTAAGAAATGTGTTTTCATGTTATTTTTTTATGGCTATACTCTAACTAGCCATTAAGCTATCATCAAAAATCCTTAAAACAGGCATGACTGTACAAGATCAAAGTGTTATGAAATTTGGGAAAATAATTGATATCCCCCTGGTATCTATAGCACATTTTTTCCTTGGCTTCCAGCCCCACCCAGGCCTCTGCAGTTGTCCATTTTGGTTGATCATAAAACAAAGGAAATTATATCATTCAATTGTTTTCCTTTGTACCTATGATTGAGGCTTGCTGAGACTTGTTAGAAATGGAGTACAGAAGGCCAGAATTAAAATTGTCCACCACTCACTAATATGGCTGTATGTATAAACATGGCTGTAAAACCAATGTGATACTGCAATCTGTGCACATGGAAAAAAAGAATTCATACCCCACTTGAATCAAATGTATGATATGTCAAGATCATTGTAATGTTTTGAGCAACTAATAAATTTTTTTTTTAAAAATTGTCCACTACTTAGTTTTCCAACTACACATAGGTTTACACAGTGAACACTGAGAACAAAAAGCTTACCACATTACTTTTCGTGGCAAGCAAAATTAAAAGTGATTTTTTTTTGTCCCCTTCAACATGTCACTGCAAATTCCATTAAGAAATGGAATGGTGTCCCCTTCTCTACCAAAAAAATCTCAATTAACTTTCTCCAGATAACTCAGCATACTTGTTCTTATTAGCACAAAATCAGCAAAAATTTCTGCAAAAAAAAAAAATTAATGTGGGATAAGACTTCCTATTTTCTGTGAGGACTAACTTGCTCTTTCTTACAAAAGCTAAGTTTACCTAGATTTGATAATGTTACTTCTGCTTTTGACTAATCTAACAAAGCGGGGGGGGGGGGGGGGGGCAAAAAGCACCTCCTTTGGACTCAAAAAAAAAATAATACTGTTAAGTACACTCCTACAAAAATGTAAACCTCCAAGCTCTACCTCCAATGAGTATAAAGTTTGAAGAATTTCAAGATTCATGGTACAGAGAAACTTTAGACAACAGCCTGTCTAGACCCTGCACCCAATTAACCCGCTTCCTGAAAATTCCTCAGGTGTCCATCCTCTTCTGTCCTACATGATTTGGCAACCCGTGTGGGACAGTGGAGGTCAAGACAGCTTTTCTGCCTCGCTTGTCTCTGGGTCTGTCTTCCTAGGCATGTGGGAAGACAACACGTCTCCTTGGTCCACCACAGGCAACTCTTTGTCTGTGAGGTGACTCATCTGGCATCCTGAGCTGCCACCCTGAGCACAACGGAACCCAACAGGAGCAGGAACGCCAGAACTAGGGAACTTGAGCACCCCAACTGAACAGGTAGGACCCAGATCCATTACTGGTTGCCCACCTGGCCTCCCCATAGAGGCCTCTTCAGGTGGAAGAGACGCTTGATCAACCTCTAAGAGTCCTCAGTAACCTCCAAAGAACACAGGGAGTTCTCCAAGTAGTCACTGTTTGGGGTGAGAGAGCAGAAAGGAAACCAGGACTCCTTCTTTGGCTTTGGACTTTTTGGAATTTGGGTGATAGAAAAATTTTGCTCTGATCATATCTGTGTGAAGGTGTGTGAAAGTATATGAATGAGATCCCAATAAAGAGAAAGGCCTCCTATCAAGATGGCCTCATAGGCAGCCTAAAAGAAGGGAGAAAGAAAGCCCTAAAAACCATATCAGAAGTACTCCAAAACCCTGACAAAGGCCCCCGCCTCTTTGATGAACTGAGGCCTTCCAACTTTTCACTTGATTTGATCCTGAGGCACCAGACAACCAGAAGATAATCAAATACAGACTTCGTGAGACAAGCCCAGAGATACATTCACCAAAAATTGCAAACTTTGCTGGACTTTGGTGAAAACAATGCCGTTAACTGATTAAAGTGGCCACCACAATTTTTATAAAACAAGAAATCAGAAGCCAGCACCATCCAGCAGATGGTTGGTGAGTTTTTGAAGCCCTGTGGCAGCCTGGTTCAGGTCAATTGGCCTTTAGTTGGGGTCATTCTTTCTTCCAGTGGCCCTCTAGATGGCAGTAGGCACATCAGCTTAGTCTCAGTCTTGTTCCCGGATAAGGGGGTCCTTCCATTCAGACCTTCCTTTGGCCCTGCATCTGGCCCGATTTTGATACTTGTTTTGGCTTTGTTCTGGTGGGACCGCCCTTTGAGTGACCTTTGGGTTTGCAGTGAGGGCAGCTGCAAGGAGTCCCATCTCCTTCTTCATCTTTTGGTGTGCCTCTCCTTGAGCCTCTTGGTCTCAGTTGATGAAAACTGTGGTGGCCACTTTAATCAGCTCACTGGCATTGTTTTCAGCAAAGTCCTCTGGTTTTTGGAGCTCTTGCAAATATGTCTCTGGGCTTGTTTACCTGCGGGTTATTTGGTGCCTCAGAATCAAAGGGAGGGAAGGGTTGGGACGCCTCGCCTAGTCATTCACAGAACTGGCTGGGGCTTTCCTCAGGCTGTTGGAGTACTTCTGATACCTTGCTCACGTTTAGGGCTCTCCTTCCCCCTTCTTTTAGGCTGCCTAGGGGGGGCCTCTTGATACCTCTTTATCTCTAGGAGGTCTCCCTCTTTGTGGGGGTCCCCCACGGGTCTGTGTTGGGGAACTGTGCCCGCGCACAGGCTTGGATGCTGCCTTGCGCATCCACAGTATGTTCTTCTAGCCACTTTAAAGCTGCTTGGGTCACTCGCCCATCAACCCAGGTGGGCTGGTCTGTCTGGATAATGGACTGCATCAGATCAATCGTGGCCCTCCACGTAGCTTCTCCATGTAGGATGGAGTATGACTTTTTTTCTAGTTTAAGAGATTAATGGTGGTAAAAGGCTAGCACACAAAAATGCATTGTTCCCCTCAGACATTTCCCTCCTGGTCAACAGAGGCAGGTCTTTAGTTTCTTGTAAGGGCATCTGCAGAGCTCTCATCTCGGTTATGCCTCTGTTCTTGGAACAATTTTCCCACCTTGGTCTCGGGGGATTAAGGAGTCATTGGCTCTGGGGAAGCCTCTGGCACTGAGGACAGTAAGGAGAAAGGAGTAGCCAGTGTCGAGGGGGCCACAGTCTGCTGCCTCTGGGGACAAGAGGCTGAGAGGACAGCTTGTTGCCTCGATGGTCTTGGCAATGTCAGGAACAGTGGCATGTAAGGTGATGGGTTCTCTTCTGGCTCAGGGGGAAAAACTGGTTTCCTCTCTGTCTTTTCTTTGTCAGGTTTTTCTGTTCAGTTCACTTTTGTTGGGTCTTAGAGGCCACTATAGTTTGAGATAACATCAGCTTGGACTGTCCTTCTAGACAGGCTCTCAATCAAGGGGGCTGTTTCTGTGCTATCTCTTGCCAGCAGTCAATATAAGGGAATTGGACTGGGTGTCCAGGGGTTTTGATAAGTATTAAAAGGACCTCACCAATAACACTTTTGTCTAAAGATCTTTCTGGTGGCCATTCCACATCAAAGGTTGGCCATTCTAATTTGCAGGGCATACATAACTTTTGTGGATTGAGTTTCACCCCATAGTTGCCTTTAAAACCTTTCTTAAAGTTTTCTAACATACATTTCAAAGGACTCAGTTTACTGTGTGTGCCTCCCGTGTTGCACTGTGCATTGGTGTCACACAATTAGGACAAGACTCACTTCATCCATCTGTGGCCATCCCCTCCTCGAGGACTTAGGCTCCTCTCAGCCTTGCAGGTGTGCACAAACCCCCGGCCTGGGGCTTTCACCTAGATGTTGATTGGTGGAAACCCACCTCAGACTATATGAGGAACCACAGAAGCACGGATGGGGACTCCAAACTCGCTTCGGCCCTTGTCCATCTCATTCACACACCCAATTCCCAAAACTCCAAAGCCGAAGAACGAGTCCTGGTTTCCCTTCTTCTCTCTGACCCCAAACAATGACTACCCAGACAACTCCCCGGGTCCTTTTTGGCTCTGCTTCCTTTGGAAGTTACTGAGGACCCCCAGGGTTGATCAAGCGTCTCTTCCATCTGAAGAGGCCTCTATGGGGAGGCCAGGTGGGCAACCAGTAATGGATCTGGGTCCTACCTGTTCAGTTGGGGTGCTCAAGTTCCCTAGTTCTGGCGTTCCTGCTCCTGTTGGGTTCCGTTGTGCTCAGGGTGGCAGCTCAGGATGCCGGATGAGTCACCTCACTTACAGACAAAGAGTTGCCTGTGGTGGACCAAGGAGACGTGTTGTCTTCCCACATGCCTAGGAAGACAGACCCAGAGACAAGCGAGGCAGAAAAGCTGTCTTGACCTCCACTGTCCCACACGGGTTGCCAAATCATGTAGGACAGAAGAGGATGGACACCTGAGGAATTTTCAGGAAGTGGGTTTATTGGGTACAGGGTTCAGAGGGGTTATCACCTAAAAAATTCTCTGGACCTTGAGTATGGATATTCCTGGACTTTATACCCAGTGGGAGTTGGGGCTTGAAGGTTTACAGGACAAGTGCTTTTTGTCCCATTTTTTAATATTAGTCAGAGGTTTTACAAGTTTGACCACAAAAGCAGAAGTAACATCATCAAGTCTGGGGCCGAACTTAGCTTTGGCAAGGCAGAGCAACTTAGTCCTCACCAAAAATAGGAAGTCCTATCCCTCATTGAAGTTTTTGGAGAAATTTTTGCTGATAAGAACAATTATGGTGAGGGTCTCTGTAGAAGTTTAATTAAGAGTGTTTGGTGGAGGAGGGGGAGCCAGTACAAGATAAGTCTCCCTGTAGTGGGGAGAGAGACAGCAAACAGCAAGAATGCAACTCAAATATCAGGAGAAAGTACTAGGACAGAAGCAAGAGCTAAAGGGCCGCTCACCTACCTCCCGCACCCTGGATCCGTCCTTCCCAAGTGAAAGGTTGAGGCTGGGCTTGCAGACCCTGCAGGCTCCAACCTGCCTCTCGGCTCCCCCGCCCCAAGGTCTGGCCCTAGGAATCCAGATCTCATGCCCAGCCAGTCCTGCGGGGCCCTTCCCTCAGCCCCAGTGCAAGCCCCAGCCCGCCCACTTCACAGACCGGGAGCGCTCCGGGCTACCTGAACTCAGGTGGCTGCAGCGCGTTCAGCGCCGCTTTATCAAGGCGCTCCATTGTGTCGCCCCGCCAGCCGCAAGCACTCGGCAGCGGGTTGGGCTCAGCGGCCCCTGAGTGAGCACCACAGTTCCAGGCCTGCCGCGCCGGAAGTGTCCCTGTGAACTCCGTGCAGAGTGAAGTACGCAGGCGCGGCGCAGGGTGGTGATGCAAGACTACGGCGGGCACCGGCCCGGGTTCGGTATTAGAGCTCACGTGACTTACCCACGAAGGTTTCGAGGCGTGCGCCCTGCCAGGAGCGGCTTGTTCTGGAGGAGCAGGCCAGGCGAGTAGCCCAGCCACTCCACGTTGAGCCGGGACTTGCCTCGCAGCATACTCCTCCCGGCGGGCGTCGTCGTCGCCGCCGCCCCCTGAGCTCGAGTGAAATCCTCACCAGTCTCAGTCCCGGTCGCCCACCGGCCTGAGCGAGGCGACCGGAGCACCGGAGCCGCGGGAAAGACAAGGAAACAGACGACTGTGGTGCTAGGCAACTAAGCAGTTTCCGACAACAACACAGAAAACCAATGCACATTATTCCACCTGTCCTTGAGCAATGGGTCATTAATTACTGCCCGCACTGGAAGGGCAGCCATGGAAAGCGGGGAGGAACAGTTGCTTTACCACTCACCAGAGGCCGTGAAACTACAGAACCGCCCGCTGATAGAGCCCTTGCTGAGAGAGACTGTTCCAGTCCGGTAGTGGTGACCCCAACTTCCACTCAAAGTTAAAAACATTTTGCAGCTGCTCAGAAAGCCACCAATGAGACAACAGGGACTCAAATAGTAAGGACAGATGGCAACCCGAGAGAGTTATAAACGAAAAGGGTGTGTAAGCCCAGGGTCAGGCTTGTCAAAATTAGGTTGCCACTGGCTGCTAATGAGAGGACAGCCCTTACATGGGCGACGTCTGGAAACAGTCGCTGACCACACATCTATTTTCTGCACCACAGAAACATAAAGACCACATCTGAAATTATGAGTAAACCTTAGAGCCGTAGACTGTGCAGCAGAAGCCTGGACTTCAAACTTCAGTTCGAATTTAATAATCCTGCTATTGGCCTCATCTCCATCCTTAGGTGGATAATAACCACTTAATGTAAGAACTTAGGAAGAGCTCGAAAAATCTACCCATAGGGTTAACAAATTGTAGCCAGCCAAGTACATATAGCCTGCTGCCTGGTTTTCTACAGCACAAGACCAAACTATTTTCCCCCTACATTGGTAAGTGGTTGAAAAAAGTCAAAAAAGAATAACACCTCACAACACATGAGAATTATGAAATTCAAATACCATTGTTTATAAATACAATTTATTGGAATTGAGTCACAGTCATTCATTTGTATGGTCCACAACTACAGTGTTCAGTTGTGCCAGGTGGTATGGTAAACAAAACCTAAAATATTTACTATCTGTCCTTTTACAGGAAAAGTTGGTGGACTTCTGCTATACAGAATCATCCAAGAGAGGCCATTACCCCTATAATGTAGTAATGGGTGAATACAGAGAACAATTTTCTATGTATATTTCATACACATATGTGCACACACACACACGCGTGTGGTAATGAACCCAGGGATACTTTACCAGCAAGCAACATTCCTAGTCCTTCTTATTTTGAGATGAGGTCTTACTGCATTTCTGAGGCTGGCATCAAGCTTGCAATTCTCCTACCTCAGACTGCCCAATCATTGGGACTACAGTCATGTGCCACCATGCCCGGCCAATTTTACATATTTTTTAAAGACCTAATAATTGAAATGTTTACTTAGTATAAGGCATCAAAAGCAACTTAAAACATCACCTTCCTTTGATATAGCACAATAATTATATCAGATTGATGAGATAATCCTGGTTATCTCATGAGGAAAAATACATGAAGTATTGCTAAACCAAAATAAACCATTCAAAATCTGTTAAAACATGGAAGGAACCTGGGAGAAGGAACATGTGCTCCCAATTCCTACAATAGGGCCTCACTTACATTTGGCACTCAAATGGGGGCACCATTTGTAGTTTTGTTTTGCAATTCCATGATTACTAGAGATGTTAAATTTTTTTTCTGATATTTGTTGGCCATTTGCTTCTTTTGAGGAATGTCTGTTTAGTTATTTTGCTCATTTATTGATTGGGGGTTTGGTGCTCAGTTTTTGAGTTCTTTATATATCTGGGTATCAAACCTCTACAGAGGAGTAGCTGGCAAAGATTGTCTCCCATTATGTAAGCTCTCTCTTCATGCTCTTAATCATTTCCTTTGCTGTGCAGAAGCTAGGCAAATGCTCTACCACTGAGCTACAACCCCAGTCCTGATTTTTTATTTTATTTCTTGAGTTTTAGGGGTCTTGTTAAGGAGGTTATTGCCTGCACCAATATGTTGAAGTATTGACTGTATGTTTTCTTCTAGAAGTTTATGGTATAATTCCTAAGTCTTTAATACATTTTGATTTAACTTTTGTGCAGGGTAAGATATTAGGGATCTAGTTTCATTCTTGTACGTATGGATATCAAGTTCCCCAGCACCATTTGTTGAAAAGACTGTCTATTCTCTAACATATATTTTTGGAACCTTTGTCAAGTATCAGATGACAGTATGTATATAGGACTGTCTTCTATTCTGTTTCATTGTTTTTCCTGTCTGTTTTGATGCCAGTACCATGCTGTTTTTGTTACTATATCTCTGTAATATAATTTGAGATCAGGTATTGGGCTGCCTTCAGCCTCACTCTTCTTGCTCAGGATTGCTTTGGCTATTTTGGGTCTCTTATTCTTCCAAATGAATTTAAGAACTGTTTTTTTTTCTAGTTCTGTGAAGAATGTCATTGGTCATGCCTTTTGCTTGGAGACTTAGACACAACAGCAACATGTACTGTGAGCTCACTGAGGTATGGAAATAATTTTAAAATAAACTCAGAAGCTGTAAGAGAAGGAAAGAATTTTGCCAGAACTATGCCCCTTAAACAAAGCCCTGGTTCCTGCTACTGAACCAGGTTACTACAAAGGGAAACCTTAGCAGTACTCCATTATTCCTCCAAGAATCAGAAAATGATTCGCAACTGAAAGAATCCCAGTCTATCACTTTCACTTTGGTTTGGAAAATTGAGAACTAACAATGGAAAGTGACTTGCCCCTATCACTTGGGTCAGTGATAGGATTAGATAATTTATAGTCCCTAAATCTCAGTTTAGTGCTTTCTCCACAATATTATTTTAAATTTGTGTGCTATTAACCTGGTAACATGTAAATTATGCACCTAGAGTGGTCTTGAATCACCCTCTAATTTGCCTTACTGACTCACAAAATCATACTCTCCTGCAATTCCTTTTTGGGTTATGACTGTGAGGTTTAGATGAAATAGGCACACTTGAAACACCACCTGGTACTGTTAGAAACTTATCCTTTACAGTCTGGCATTTTAAAAGTTAATAGATAAGGAAAATTGAAATAAGTTTCACCAAACAATCAACAAACCTTGTGCTAAAAACATGAGAGAGATAATAACTCTAGTTTCTTTATAATGTAGAATGTGGTGTCTTTTTTTTCTCAAAATACAAACTAGTAAAATATGTAACATTTTTATCTAAGAGAAAACATAAAGGTTCACTATAGTAAAGAGTCCACTGTCATAATCTCCTGGTCAATGCATTGCATGTGTTAAACAGTCTACAATTTATATGCCACCCCTATTTCATAGATGGAAAAACTGAGGCTAAGGAAAATTTGAGTTTGTTGAAGTTCTCACAGCTCCCCAAGTCTCTTGATTCTTTGCTCTAATATTTATATCAGGCTATCCCTTCCAGCTTTCTGTTCCAGAAAGTTAAGCTCAGATCTTAAAACTAATGAGAGCATGCGCTAATGCAGCCAGGGAATACTCAGTGTCCATGGATCAGGACTATTTTTACCTAGCTGACTTTCTACACACACTAATAGATCCCTTGGAAAGATAAAATAGGCACTGGAGCCCAGGAAATGGCCCTGTTGTCTGTCCAGCATGGTATGGGATCAGCCCAGATCCCATGGCCCCTAACACACCAAGGGTTTGATACAAGGAGAGGATCCCTTCTTGAAATGTGGCAGGACCTTAGCTGCCAACTGCATCTTGGCCCAAGTACTTTCCATATGGGCTTGTCACCACAGGCTATATCATGGGAAGAGGGACTATGACAAGGGCCCCTGAGGATTGATGTGACAGGGCCACACCCCAAAATATACACATGTGCTCAACAAGGCCCCCGTTTGGAGGAGGTTTGAGCAACTGGTTGACTGAATGAAAGCGTGAGTCCCAACCAGAGCCCAGGAGCTCAGGGAGTAATGTTCATAGAGCAATTTGCATGTCCCACACTGGTGACCTAGAAGTATGGTTTCCAGGAGATCTTCCCAAACTCCAAGTGAACAGGGCAGGGTGGCTCTAATTGGTCCAGGGCGGGACAGGGAAGCTATGCCCACTCAAAGCCCAACATGATGGATTTAGGCCTGACAAGGAACCAGCTGCTGTGTGGGTGCCCCTCCTCCAAGTGGGACTCCAGGGTGAAATCTTGGTTTCTAGCTCCCCATCCCATGGGTGCTGGCATCCCCACCCTGATCTGTACTCCAAATATTTTGTAAATAAATAAATACATAGTTGATGAATGAGTGACTGTGTTGAAAGAAATCTAAGGAGAAACCCAATGCATTAGCAGGATCACAATGCCAAAGAGCTATAGATGCTGTTTTGGATTGTTTTTCCTTCTCTGTTTTTACATTTCCCATGATTGAGTTGAGAAAAAAGTTAGAAACAATGGAGAAGTGCAGATATAAGGATACAGTGACCAAAGTTCTGATAGAAACTTTGAGGTTTCATGCTGAGAGCCATTGCCAAGTAGGAATGATGCTTCGCAATTTCTTTGTCAGCCTACTGCATGTTGCTTAGAGGAAAGACTCTCCATGGTGGACCCAGGTCATTTTCAGTGACTTTGCGTGAAAGGTGACCTTGCTCAAGGACCAGGGCGGATCCGGGTTTAGGGTGAATCAGGGTTTAGGGTGAATAGGGATTTAGGGCGTTCCGGGTTTAGGGCGGTTCCAGGTTTAAGGTGATTCCTGCTAGGAATAGGGTGTATCCTGCTGCCTCAGGCGCCTTGAGTTCCCATTGAGTTCTCGAGGGATTCAGAGAGTATTTGGGACTCAGAGCCCTGTGGAGAGTGTGGATTTTGCCCAGAACGTGTTTGTAGAGTGCCGGTGTGAGTTTGGGAATAAAGAATTGCTGTTTGAATCTACAAGGCTGTGAGTGGCTCGTGATTTTGTGCCCAGCCAGACTGCGGCAGTTTCATAGAAAAGGGGAGCAAAGGCAAAGTTTGAATGCTTCCATGACTGAAGGTTTTGTGTAGTTGCAAGAGTA